TCAAACATTTGTTCAACAATTGCAGGAATGAGCAAATTAACAAAATAAATAGAAAAATCAAACGAACAACCATTTAGGATGGATGAATGGATGGATGGATGGATGGACTGTAAAACTGCATGAACAAATGAGCAAAAAAAGATCAAAGGAACAAAGTAACAAAAGAATAAACAAAAATAAAAAAGGAAAGATCAAATAATTGAAATAAATATATAAATACTAAAGAATTGCCTGTATGAACAATTGAGCAAAATTTTAAAAAGTTCAAATGAATAACAAAAGAAAAACAGTTTGAATAAATAAATAGACTGAACTTCTGGATGAATTCATAAATTTAAAAAAAAACAATAAATGAACAAACAAACAAAAAGAAAATCAAAGGGACAAACTAACGAATGAACAAAAATTAAAGATGGAAAAACAAAAAATTAAAGATCAAACAAATTAATTAATTAATGAACAAATTAACAGGAAAGAAAGTCATACAGTAAATGATTTTAAATTTTTGTTAAAAACACTCCTTCATAACCTTTATAAATATTATAGAGTTCAGTGTTTCCCCTTGGTTTACAGCTTTTGGGGAAACACTTTTTTTCTGGACTCCTTTTTAATGGTTAAATTACATTTTATTAATCAAAAAGCATGTCTAATGTTTTATTTGTCCAACCTTATGTTTTATTGTAACCAAATTCTGTTTTAGCATGTCTAATTTGAAAGCATAAAACAAGTTTCATTTATTCTTACAATAGCCTTATGATTTTTTTGCTCAGAAATTCTGTGTTGTGTATTTACATTTTGTTTTAAGGCATAAAACATTCATTTAATCTATCTTTTAAGTAATGAAAATTAAACTAATTTAATTTTGGGGAAAATAAAGGTCATTTAATCTTACAATTAAAACATTGAAGAAATATTGAATGCTTATTCCTTAAAAATTAGGTTTTAATAATTTTAGTAGTAGCAGTCTGTTACGTGCAATCTACTCAACATCAGTAATATATTTCTGCCAATGCCCTCAAGTTAAACCAAACTTTATTTTGACAGGTTGCCGTGAATACTATTACATTTCTGTGTATGTATGACATGATGATAGTTTTATTGAAATTAAACGGTTAAATGCTGATGAAGTGACTCTCAGAGCAGTTCTGGAGATGTTGTTCATGTGTTTATGTCCTCATTAGTGAGACGGCAGACGTTAATATCACCGGAAGCGTCACGAGAGTTTCAG